AAATAAACAACAAAGTGTTTCGCTTTAAAAAGTTAAGTTAATCTTGAATTTAATCTGTAATTGTAATTAATTGTTAAGCATGTATGGTCCATACTATGGTCCACTATGGACTTAATTTAGTCCTAGTCAAGTTATTCTTATTTGGTTTGACCTAGTCCTTTATTTATTAATTTTTAATTCAATACGCAATTTTAAGTTCAATATAACAATTTTCTTTTAAAGGGACCATGTTTAAAACGATCAAATTACCTCTTGTTTGGGAGTTTGGATGGCCAATTAATTCACCACTCAGTTCTATCTTTATTTTAAACATTATTTGTCGGTATTTAGTCACACCGAAAATGTTCATTTTTGTTGACAACTACATTTACCCATAGTAAAGTTAGAGTAGACACGCTACCGAGTAGACTCCTTACTTAGCTTATTAATTATAGTAAATCTTGTCTTACTCGTAAGTGACATAAGTAAGTCCAAATTAGAAAAAACAACAACACAACTTTCTCAGCCTTCTGAGTCTTGAATCTTCTTAACTTACTCAGTCTGACTAAGACACTTCACTACCAGACTAGGACTAGTGACTAGGAAAGCCCCTAGACTCTAGGCAGGCTAGGGTGACCAAAGCCAAACGTCCAGTAAAAACGGGATTGTCCCGTAAAAACGAGATTGTCCCGTTTTTTCACGATCGTACCTGTTGTCTCGAAAAAGTCTCGGGACGCCTAAATGTCCCGTTTTTTTTAACCAAACACATTTTCTAATCCCTGAAACTTCCTAATTTATAAATACTAATATAATAATATAACTTCAAAAATATTTTGGTTAGCCGTGTAGGTAGTGCCAGTAGTCTGATGTTGGCTCGCGTATGGCTGCAGCGTTTCCTCTCAACCACAGTGTCCCTGTCTTATAATATGATAACGAAGTGATTATTCACAGAGCTGTGCGGATAACGCTCGCCGTTATTCACAGATTTCGGTCTGCCGATAACGCTAAACGTTATTCACAGAGCTGTGTGAATAACGCTCGACATTATTCGCAGAATGTGATAAATTAAATTATGAATATAAAATACAAAGTTCGTGTGAAAACATCTCCTCGGTAGTGTAGTGGTCAGTATCTCCGCCCGTCACTTGGCGGACATAGGTTCGATTCCTCGTCGGGGAAGCTTCATTTTTATAAATAAAATTGTAAAAAAAATATATATTTAATGGTTATTTCGTAGTGTTATATTATAATAATATTCTTCATATAGCTTTCTTATTCTGTTCACATAGTTTTATTATTATTTTCATGTAGTTTTGTTACTTATGTTACAAGTTTCAATCTATTTTGTTAAAATGTTCATTCAAGTTTCGTCAAAAAACTGTAAACAACATGGACATGCAGATGAGCCGCATAAACCATGTTTAAGTCAGATACAGCTGTTCTAACTGTACATTGTGATATATATTTTTAGCTCTTTTGACTGTTTAATTTTCTTTATATAATTCCACTCATAGACTTTAACATCCATTTGTTTTTCTCTAATAAACAAATACTTATTAATAACTTACTTATTCAAATATTTTATATCTCAGAGTTGTGTATTAATGTTTAGCTGAAAAAATATGTCACGTTTTATTTGTTTCATTTTATTTTCTAATAAGTATCATAATAAGTAGGGACACAATATGCCGCTCCAGAAATAGTTGAAATAACATTTAGTGATGACAATGAAAGGAACATACCGGTACCGTACTTAAAACACATCAATATCATTGACATCAACAATTTTAGCTCTTGTAAAAAAAATGTTGATAATTGAAACAAAAAGCCATACTGTCACTGTTGTAACTATGGGTCTAAATACAAAAAAAGCATACAAAAATTAATTGGAACCCTGCTGGTCGTAGGATGCATTGCGAGTCTTTGGGAAGTAAAGTTCCCTTGGGGCAATTGAAGTTTGAGTGTGGTCTAAATACAAAAAAAGCATACAAAAATTAATTGGAACCCTGCTGGTCGTAGGATGCATTGCGAGTCTTTGGGAAGTAAAGTTCCCTTGGGGCAATTGAAGTTTGAGTGTATGGCCAGCGCAATATCAGCCAGCTTTACTTTACCCCAGCTAAGGCCAGAGCTGGGTAGACTTAGGGACACCCTCAAGGATCAGGAAAAAATACTAGCCTTAAACAGGATTAGATTCTGTTATTATCGATGTAGGGCCTATATGCCCCTCCCCTTCTCTCACATGGCCGCCTGATGGAGACACCTCTCTGCATCATAACACTGTTGCACGGCATGTCAACTATTTCTGTCAGAACATTTCTGGACTACGTGATATATCATAGTGCTTTTAAAAAAAAACGAAACGATATCCTATCAAGCTTTGACATCATTTAAAGACATCTCTACAATGGGTGAAAGTGAGTCTACATGAAGAATACCGGTACCATTTTTATTACTGGTATAACATTTAATAGGAAACACCAGAAAATTAGCTATGTCTAGGAGTAGGAGGTTTGACTGGATCTATTAGTAACACTCTATAGGTCGAACATGTTGGCCCCTAACAGAGCAGATGTAGGCACAATTAATTGTCCTATATCCAATATATAGGCTATAGTTAGGCCTATTAAATTTTTTAAATTTAATTTGTGCATAGCTTCGGTTATGAAATGTGCTTGTGCCATACTCATTAAAGATTCTTTAAAGATCCAAATATCCTACGCCTACACTACTTAAAATTACACCCCCACCCTGCCTTGGAATGTGATATAGAAATTTGCGTACTTATAGGATAATTTCTGTCTCATTATAGACCCACTAATTATCACCCAATAATAAATTTGTATGCGTACATGGGCGCCCGCAGTTAGGGGCAAGTGGGGGGCACTTGCCCCCCCCCCCTTAGATTGATTGGATAGCCAAAAAAATTTAGACAAAAAATGTATTAAAGTAAAGAGAAAATAAAGAGAAAGTAACTAAGCTGATGTCCTGTCCGTTCGTTCACCATACAAATACGCTACAGTA